TACAGTTAAGAAACAAATAGCATGGGCAAAGAATCAAACAGGGTGATCAAAACAAACTTTAGCTTGGTTAATTCTTTACAGTTTATCTTTTTAAAAATTAAATTTATTTTGTAAAATACTATTATGTTATTCTGTTACCTTTGAATTTGTCCTGTCAGCAAGCTAACTTGTAAGATATGTAGTTTACTGATTTCCAGTCTTTTCTCTCTTTAATCATAAGGATTAAGGCTATAAATTTCCCTTTTTGTATATTTTAGCCAAATCCCCAGGCTTGAATATATAGTATATTCATTAGCACCCATGTCCAAAATGTTATTTACATTGGAGTTTTTTTTCCCTCTGACCTATACATACACTTGTGACTTTATAAACTTACACGTTAAACATCCTTGGCTCTGTGTGTAACTAGTTGCATATTCTGAACTGTGAAGTAAGTTTAAAGATGATGCCCAGTGTTATCTTTCCAATCAGGAATTAAGGGGTAAAAGGAAACAATAACTATTATAGTGACTGCTTGGCCTCTCATATTATTTGTGAGGTAGGAAGGAACCAAAGTGAGAAAAAAGGAAAAATGAAGATGTAGATTATACAGGCCTGGTCTGGAATCTTGGAATAGTTGCCTACAACAGATGTTATCTACTTCACTTTCTAGTAAGTTTAAATTTTAAAGATCTGTTGGTTAAACAGCCTGATTAGATGTCAGGCGTAAGAGCTTTCTTTAAATGGGAAATATGCATCCAAGTGTTAACACCTTTAAATTTGGTCATATATGGATTCAGAGTACCTGAACTTTTGGAGGGATCAGGTAGGAAGGAAGAGATAAATGTTTTAATTTTGCTTACAAAGGTATAATTTACCAAATTGCCATAGATCATTGGACACTTAGGAGAGAAAATAATTTATGTCTGGAAAACAAAGATCAAGCACCAGTAACATTTTATATAGAAAATTATAAAAACTATAATCATTCTTATCAGTTCATTTAGGTCCATGTTATTAAAAAATGAAACTAGACCATCTTCTTGACACTATGTACTAGACCACTAGTATATAGTGTTGGGGACCACTTTGTGTGGTATTGGAAGTTGTAGCCCCGCTCAAACAGGCCTTGAGAGAGGCCCGTAAGTCTGGACGGGAACACTGGGAACGCAGATGGCAGGCACCACAGGATACTAACACCAAGGGTTCCCATGGGAAATCAGGCTTAAAGAATGCATTATACCCTTTGGAGCTTGCTTTGCTTTGTATAGTCCTGTCGATATAAACCAGATGTTTAAATTCAAAGCATAAAGGAGTAAACTCCTAATCTCATGAATCACGTCTTAGCAACCCTCTGGCATCAGCATATCTAACAGACTCTGACCTAAGGCAGGTCTCTCTGTTTCCTCAATTGTTAGCTATAAATAATATCTTTATTCTGTAAATATGGCCTTTAGACTTTGATCAATGAGCTTTGCATGCATGCTGTATAACGCTGTGCATTCCGATCCCAATAAAAGCTTGGGACATTCTCCACTAGAGGAAATTGCCACCTGCTTTCCCATCAGAACAACAGATTGTGTCCTGGATGACTCTTTCTCATCCTCCACAGCCAGGAGAGTTCTGCAGGACTGGGGCATCCCACAATAGAATAAACTCAAAATGGATTAAAGACCTAAATGTAAGACCTGAAACCATAAAACTCCAAAAGAAATCATAGGCAGAAAACTCTTTGACATTGCTCTCAGTAATATTTTTTTCAGATATAGCTCCTTGGGCAAGGGAAATGAAAGAACAAACAAATGGGACTATATCTCAAACTAAAATGGTTTTACATAGCAAAGGAAACCACCAACAAAACGGAAAGCCTACCAATTGGGAGAAGATATTTGCCAGTGATACAACTGATAAAGGATTAACATCCAAAATTTATAAAGAACTCATACAACTTAACATCCCCAAAGCCCAAACAATCCAATTAAAAACTGGCAGTGTGTACCTGAATAGACCTTTCTTCAAAGAGTACATACAGGTAGCCAATAGACACATGAAAATATGCTCAATGTCAGTAATTATAAGAGAAATGCAAATTAAAACCACAGTGAAACATTACCTCATCCCTGTCAGAATGGTTATCAATAAATCATCAAAGAACAGTTGGCAGGGATGTAGATTGAGAAAAAGGAACAACTCTTGTGTACTACAAGGGACTGCAAATTGGTACAGCCACTGTGGAAAACAGGATGGAGTTTCTTTAAAAAACTAAAAATGGAACTGCTTTATGACCCACAATTTCACTCTTGAATATTTAACCAAAGAAATCCAAAACACGAATTTGAAAAGATAGATGCACTCATATGTTCATTGCAGTGTTATTTATAACAGTCAAGATGTGAAAGCAACCCAAGTACCCATCAATAGACAAGTGGATTAAAAAGCTGTGGTACATACACACAATGTAATGTTATTCAGCCATAAAAAAGAATGAAATCTTACCTTTCTGTAACAGCATGGATGGGCCTACAGGGTATTATGTATGCTAAGTGAAATAAGCCAGCCAGAGAAACACATACCATATGATTTCACTTACATTTAGAATCTAAAGAGTAGCATAGACAAAGCAGAAACAGACTTATGGAGACAGGGAAGAGACTGATGGTTGGCAGAGGGGAGGGTGAGGGTGAAAAGGTTAAGGTATTAAGAAGTACAAATTGGCAGTTACTAAATAGTCAGGGGGGTATATAAAGTACAGCATAGGGAATATAGCCAATAATATTATAGTAACTATATGGTGCCAGGTGTATACTGGACTTGGATCACTTAAATTACATAAATGTCTAATAACCACTATGCTATACACCTGAAACTAGTATAAAATAATATTGAATGTAAACTGTACTTGGCAAATTAAAAAAGCTCAGGGGCTATAAGCAATATAACAGTACTATTGTTTGGACTAAAGAAAAGTCTTGTTACAACTAGGAATTTAAACAGAATTAAAAAATTAGAACACTAAGTTGCTTATCTTCAAATGTACCTATTAATTTCTGGATTTGTGTACAACTAAACTGTGAACTATTGGAATCAATTCAAAATAAAGTCATGTCTGTTTACTGAATTGAGTTAAAACTAAAAAAAACAAGAAACAACCCACTATGCATGCCAGCGCAGGACATGTTGTTAACTAGTCCATATAGAATAAATTTTAAGCTTAGATACAACAATTAAAAGAAATATTTCTTCAAAATTCAATGTGCTAAGTGTCTTACCTAAACATTTGGAACAACGATACACAAGCTGTTAATCCAGATGATATGGGAAGAAGGAAGGCGACAAGAGCAAATAAAATCAAAACAGAGGATCAGCAAAGAAAAAGCCTTGTTCTATGAAAAAAAAATTTTTTTGATAAGACATAGAAAAGAAAGCAAAACAACTATACTTAAAATAAATGTTCAATTTAAACAAAAATAGATAACTCTTACAAATGTGCATCCTACAAAAATTAACTAAAGAAATTTTTAAAAATTGGAAAAACTAAGAAATTCATGCAAAAATCTTCCTAGTATGAGAAAAAAATCATAATGCAATACCCTTTGTGTTCAGAAATGTAAAATTTCTAAGTACGAACAAACAAAAATCAACTGTATATTTAAAAATGAATACATCTCAAACAGGTTTACCTAAGTAATATAATGATTTAATAATAAAAATCTGTTACTGCAATTTACCACATGAACTGATGTGATGCATTTAGCTTTAACTTCCATTCGTGCATAGTAAAAAAACATTAAAACCTTAAAAGCATCCCCAATAAAGTCTGAGACATCATAAAAACATCTGCTTTCATACCTGTCTCAACATTATATAGCCATTGCAATAAACCAATGTAAGATGTGCACATATATACACATAAAGACTTCTCATGACTATTAACTTTTCACTATAGCAACCTTTGAAAAAATTATACTATGTTTTAAAAATACAGCCCCAAATTGCATTAAATATAGTTTTTAAAGTGTTTTTAAATGTTAAAGTCTCAAGCAAAGATGCATTCACCAAGTTATTCTTTACACTTAAGAGAACATTATAAAGAACAAATCTGAACTGTGTACATTTTTGGGAGTGAACCCAAAATAGTTTTTATCCTCTTTGAAGAGAAAGAGGTGAAGCCTTCAGTTTGTTATGCTTGCTCAGGCGCTACTTTGATGACTGTCCAAGTGCTGTCGTGTTTTGCCTTTTTTTTTTTGTCGTAACGTGACTTTCTGTGCCATACCACATTTATTCGAAAGGGCCATTTCAACATTACATATCTGAGCCCTTCAAAGTTTGGAAAACGCAGAAAACGGTGTATCCAAAGAAGGAACGAGTCCCTCTTCCCATTCCACCAACCAAAGGGACACTATCAAGTCATCTGTTCCTGTGGCAAAAAGTAAAATACACTTAATGTACGAAGTGTATGTTAAAACTTTTTGAGTCGTAATCTCATTTTTAAAGAACTTTTTTCCGTTTAAAAGTGGGTTGGGTAACTTTGATGGTAATGCATTATAATTTTCATTAACAGTAATGGGGAAAACAGTTCTTTTTTTTTAACCTAACACTTCTTCACGATCTTTAGGCGGAAACCTTAAAAACAAACCAGGGCCAGGTTAATAAAGTTTAGAGAAAGGGTAAAGTAGGTCACCAAACTGCAGACCTTCCCCTAGCAGGATCGTAGTCTTCGGGCAACCAACCAATCACAATTAGCAAGAACCCTACCAACCAATCACAACTAGCAAGAGCCCCAACCTACCCACCAATCACAACCAGCAGGAGCTCTCGCAACCTGCGGAAACCAGTCCCAAGCGACACAACCTGGAGCGTTCCGCCTGCGCGCAGTGACTGGGGTTCTGAACTCCCCGACGACTAGCCGCCTGACGACTAGCCGCCTGACCGGTAAAAGCCGGCCTAGGTGACCGGGCTTGTAGGCCACGACCGACGCTGCTTCTTTGCTTCCGACCGCCACAGTCCGCTTGACCGCCGACATGGTTGAAGCAGATCGCCCTGGAAAGCTCTTCATTGGCGGGCTTAGCCCCGAAATTGACGAGAAAACCCTCGAGGCCGAGTTCGGCAAGTATGGCCGCGTCATCGAGGTGCTGTTGATGAAGGACCGAGAAACCAGCAAGTCCAGAGGCTTCGCGTTCGTCACCTTCGAAAGCCCCGCCGACGCCAAGGCCGCCGTCAGAGACATGAACGGCAAGTCCCTGGATGGTAAGGCCATCAAAGTAGCCCAGGCCACCAAACCGGCGTTTGAGAGTGGCCGGCGGGGCCCCCTGCCGCCATCTCGCAGCCGTGGTCGCCCGAGGGGCCTGGGCGGGGCCCGTGGCGGTGGCGTTGGCCCTCGGAGGTCTCCCTCCCGGGGTGGGTCCGCCGACGATGGCGGTTATGGGGGAGATTTCGACCTGCGGTCGTCCAGGGCCCCGATGCCCATGAAGCGTGGCCCGCCGCCGCGCAGGGCTGGCCCTTCCCCCAAAAGGGCCGCCCCGTCGGGCCCGACACGCAGCGGCGGTGGTGGAATGCGCGGGCGGGCCTCGGCTGCGCGTGGGCGAGAAGGCTATGCGGGCCCACCTCGCCGAGAGCCGCTGCCCCCACGCCGGGATCCCTACCCGGGCCCCTGGGAGGAGGGCTACTCGCCTAGGGACAGCTACTCCAGCCGTGACTACCCGAGCACCCGCGACTCCCGGGATTTCGTTCCCTCGCCCCGAGAGTACACCTATCGCGATTACGGCCACTCCAGTGCCCGGGACGACTTCCCATCCAGAGGCTACGGCGACCGAGAAGGCTACGGGGGTCGCGGCCGTGATTACGCGGATCATGGGAGCGGAGGTTCCTACCGAGATCCCTTCGAGAGCTACGGGGACCCTCGCAGCAGCAACCCTGCCCGAGGGCCCCCGCCATCTTACAGCAGCAGAGGCCGCTACGACGAGTACCGGGGCTGCTCGCCCGACGCTTACGGCGGCGGCCGCGATAGTTACGGCGGCGGCAGGAGCGACCGCTACTCGAGGGGCCGCGACCGGGTCGACAGAGCGGATCGTGGGCTGCCCCCGTCCCTGGAAAGGGGCTGCCCTCCGCCTCGCGATTCTTACAGCAGATCAAGCCACCGGGCTCCCAGAGGTGGAGGCCGCCTAGGAAGCCGCTCGGAGAGAGGGGGAGGCCGGAGCAGATACTAAGTTTGACCAGACTTGGGACCAAAATTCGTCTTCGAAAAGAAGATCCTGTTCGATGGTAACTACCCAAGGACTAGTACGAGGAAGAGTTGTTTTCATCTTTTGAGACTTTCCTGTTAATTCCTCTCCCATAGTTTTTATGCTTTTGAGAGGAAAAAGTTAAAACTCGTTTAATTTCGTTTTGGAATTGTTAACGTTTCTTTCAACAAGTGTTTAAAAGCATGACTTGAATCTGCGTACTGGTCTTATATTTCCAAGTACAAATTCTGCTAAAGTCTTACTCCCTACTCAGTTTTTCCTGGTAAATGAGGCAAACAGTTTTAAGATTGTTTACAAATATCTGCCCACGTAAATGGAAAAATGGATCGTTCTGTCCAAATCAGATTTTGGGGGGGAAGGGGGACTAGGAGGAATTGGTGTATGCTACTCTTAAGATTTCAAGGGGGTCTTTGAACTGAATCTCAGTATTGCCAGTATTAACAAACGACTAGCAGCAGCAAAACACCTAAATCAGAGGCTTACATAGAGAAAGTTATATTCATAAGTCAAAAGCAAATGGATAATGCTGGCCATGTTTTGCCTTTTTATGCCTTTTCTTTGGGGATCTGCAGAATTTCTTGTCCCCTTGTTCCCCCAAAGATTTGGCCAATCAACCACAAATCTGCAAAACAGAGACCAGACAACATCAATTAATAGCATTTATTTTAACCGCCACCACATTATTAAGAAACCGGTAGAAAATACACCAGTGGTGGATTTGGAGACCTTAATGACTTCCATTATTAACTCCAAAGCTACCTGTCCTTGGCTCTAGAACCAGCTGCTGGCTTCTGTGGAAAGAACCAGGCTTATTCCCTTAAGGGTGGAGGAATTTCGTAATTGTGAGCAGCATCAGAAGCTCCTAGAATCCCTGAGAGAGCTTGGCAGTTAAACGTCTGAGGATCTCAACTTAGTGTGAGACTTGGGTCTTCCTGTTCAGAAAGGCAAGGGAATGGGTTGAGTGTTCTTTATCTTAAGGTGGGCAAAGGACTTCATTCAGTAGACAAAGATCAGAGAGACTTCCTCCATGCTGACTCAGGAGGGATGTAACAGTCTCCTTTTTTTTCACCTCAAGCTCAGGGCAAGAAACACCTTTTCCACTCACTACCTATGGAACTCCCCTATTTATCTAAGAGAAGGTAATTACACAGTCAAGGGACTTTAGCAACCAGAGAACGGAGGATTAGGTTAAAATATTAGGATCCATGTTCAGCACAGTAACTACTGGAGGAAACAGACCAATACCTGAACAACAACAACAAAGATGTGAATGTAACACACTGACATACATAACTCTAAAAACATGATTTGTTTAAAAAATAGTAAAGTAGATAAATTATAGGAAAGGCGTTTGTGGCCCAGGAACCAACTGTTAAGAAATAACAAAAAAATCTGGAACCTAGCAAAAATGGGTAAGACCTTTATGGAACAAATTATTAATCTTTATTAAAGGACATAACAGAAGACTAAATAAAAGGAGAGTCAATATGTGAAATGGTTGGGAAAACTTTTTATCATGGCTATTCTCAACCTCACCAAATTAATTTGGAAAATCAATTCAACTTCAAGGGAAATTACAACATGATTTTTTTCCACACAGCTCCCCACCCCTCTTTCCTAATACCATTTATTTGTGTCGATCAGCGATGGAATACTAAATAAAAGATTTGGCTAACAAACCACAAACAAACAAACAAAGTAGCTGCATTGCACTATCAACAAATTATTAAGAAGTAGGTGAATAAAAAAGACAAATGGGAAATTTAGCTAATCCTAAAACTTTCATGGTGAAATAAAGAGCAAGAAGAGCCAAAGCAATTCTGAAAAACAATTAGGACTACTCATTCTTCTAAGAAAATGCTTAGAAATCAATTTAAGAAAAAAACACCAGGAAAAAATAATTTTGGCAATGCCTAGTAACGGATCATGCATACCCTTTGACTTCTTACAAATTTCTAGCAAGTTAAGCTTTAAGCTGTGTATTCTCAACAGACTAGTAGACCAAAATAGCCTAGAAACAGGCCCACTTGGATATGAAAACATGATACACGACCCAGCTTTAAAAGGCATTGGTGAAAGGATGGATCTTAATGACTATCTGCAAAAAGATAAAATGAGATTTTCTAACTTATAGCACACACAGTCTAGATTGTTTGAACATGTGAATGTGAAGAGGAGAAATTTTAAATACTTAATAAGAAAATTAAGAAATGTATCACTGGGGTAGAGAATTTCTCTTTAAGACATAAAAAGCACAAACCTAGAAGAAAAATGTTGCTAAAATCTTCCGTATGATTACTAAAATGTTTTTATGATAAAAGACACTGCTGAAAAATATAAAACCATAGATTGGAAGAATTTATTTGCATTGAAATAACTTCCAAAGAATGGTTAGAAATTAATATAAGAAAAAAACAGCAAGAATAATTGTGGCAATACCTAGTAATGTTGGAGGGTGCATACCCTGTGATCCAGAAATTTCACTTCACGGAGAGGACTTAGAGAAATTGTTACATGCACACAACAAGGTATACACAAGATTTGGCCTTAGAGCTACCTTTGAGTGTCTTTAAGAAGCAGAAACAAGCAGAAACGGCCTACCTGAAGAGGATTCAACTGAGGTAACGGAGTCCTATGTAGAAGCTAATTTGAATCAACCAGACCCACAGGTATGGACATAGGTAAATATCAAAATACTTGGAGGTAAAAGGCAAATTGCATAAGAATAGGTATAATTTAAGTATAGAAATATGAATACATAAAAGATACTTGGCGTTAGGAAAGGAAGATGGGGTGAATGGTAGATTTTAGCTGACTCTGTAATGTTCTCTCAAAGATTTTAAGCAAAAATGACAATGTTTAACACCTTAAATTTCTGTGGTCTACACATTGGTATCTCATGTCATAATTTTAAAATCCTTCATAACAAAGTTTAATGTGAAAAATAGAGCTTAGCACAGCACCGACATAATGGCTACTCAAAATGTTGTCTATCCAGAAAGTATCTGAGTTGCAACACTCTAATCTTGACAATAATTCTCCTAACTTTATTCTCATCAATGTGGGTGATTTCTTATTGTTTCAGTCTATAAAACCTTCTTTTCATAGAATGTTCCCATAGCTAGCTCACCATAACCTCAAGGGTAGAAATTGTAAATATGAGAAACAAGTATTAGTGCACTTTTTGACATTCATTTTGAAACAGAATAGCTATTTCTGAAGAGTAATCTCTTGAATATTGAAACTAGTAATACTTTTTTTTTAACTGAGATGCAAACATTTGGAAATAAAGACTTACCCAAAGGTTAGATAAGTCCAAATGGAACATACAAAGTCTGAATTTCTCATGTATATAAATAACATTCCTGATAATTCTTTATTGAATATTAATGTGTTGAAGCTATTTTTGCAGGAAAATATGAGAGAGATCTAGTTGGAAATTCTTGTTTATAATTGCTTTCATAATGATAAGCAAGAAGGGCAGGGAGCAAATCAGGTGGTTTGCAGGACTGACTCCTTGGGTATAACTTAAGAAATGCACATCTCGACCAAAACCCTTACATTCTCTATCTTGAGCTTGCCTCCTCTCTTTGTGCCTGAGACCCCCATCGTCACATTCCTTCAGTCTAAAACAGGGTTCCAGGAGCATCCAAACTGTCCATGGGGCAACCGACAGCATTACTGAATTTACCCTACCAGGTGAGGGCTGAGCATCTGTCTGCAACCTGAATTCTACTGTGGGTCCTGGGGCTCTCTGGTTGCTGGAGGTAGACTTCTTTCCCCTTTTTTTCCTTAGTTCCCCTTTTTCCCTTGACTCAGGACAGGTGATAAGGGAAGAGTTCTGCTTGAGTTCCTTCTACCATGGGGCCTCTAATTTCTCAGCTTTTAGATTATGTTAGGTCCATATGCCTTTGTTTTAGCCTTTATCTTAAAGGTAATATGATTTTCCCCCTCTTCTACACACACACAAAAATGTCCTTTTTGGGGACAGTTACTGTGTCTTCCTCTTTTGGGCCTTTTTAAGAACTCACCAAGCAGAGACTGTATCGCTTTACTGTGCTCACATGGAACCCAGTAGGAGTGGAAATTCCTTTCAGAATCTGTACGTTCTGTTTGTGGTGACATTTCTTCTAAAGCTGATTGCTCCTGCAATGCAGTGCATTGAAGAACTCTTTAAAAATGAATCTGAGTCTTACTGTTTTGTGACATTGGATATGAGTATCAAGGGCAAAAAAATTAACTCTGGAGGAAGTACAGAGCAATGATGACCCCTTTGTATGTATTCCACTATCATTTATTAAAATGTTCTAGGAGAATAAAAAAAGTGAGTATCAGTTATGAAGTTTTTAGGAAGAATATTGATGGAAAGTATTGAGGCTTACCCATAATGTGTAGAGGCTGCTTATTAAGTAGAAAGGCAGTCTTTCAGTCATGTGTTTCATTCCTCGTTCTATTACTTAGCGTGACTTGGGCAATTTTCTTTAAAATTTTGAGCTTCAGTTTTTTTTTTAATATGTGATGGTGATGATGGTCATCTCTTAAAAATTTGGAATGCGTACCAAGCATGCAGCATAGTACCTGGAATGCAGTGGGGTTTATTAAATGGTAGTATCACAGCATTCTACACACAGCAGTACTGCAGACTTCTCTTCGGAATTTACCTTTTCCACTTACCAGTAAAGTTGATTATATACTAAATCATCAGAAAAATTCAAACTGAGAGTTTTACTGCATTTATTCAGTTTATATTTACCCAGCTTGAAATCTTGGTGACATATTTGACTCTTTACAGCCCTTGCTTATATTCTGCTGTTGCTGCTGTTGCCTTCTCTACTTGACAGCCAGGGTGACCTGAAATTGCCACCAGCAGTGTCAGTGCCCAGTTCCTACCTAACCAGTCTGAGGTGAGGTGGGTAGATGTTTTTATCATCTATTTGAAGGACTTATTACTCTGGCAAAGCTGG